CCGATCCGTGCAGCACACTGCTGGGTCACGGGCCTCCAGTCTGAACAACAACCCTCTACTACTACCCTCTGTCCTCTACCATCAAGCCAATTCTGTATCACTTGGCTAGCTGATTCTGGATTCCCATGTGATCTAACCTTACTAACCAGTCTATCATGCAGAAACTTGTTGAAGGCCTTGCTAAAGTACACATAAACAACTTCTACCAATCTGCCTTCATCTATCTTCTAACAAATTTTGAGTCCTTTTCAGATTAAATTTGGTCATTTTCTTGTCTTATGCTACCTGCACTTTGTAAAACCAAATCAAATATGAAACGTTTTCAACACCAATCTCCAAAAGCACCATAATAGAAATTAACTTCTCTCTGCTTACGTGTTAGCTTTGGCTCCATTGATAGTACTCTCCTGTCTCTTCTAAATCAAAGTCCTACCTGCCCTCTTGTTTCATTGCTTCTCTTTCCCCTGCTGCTCTAATTACTCCACAATCCCATCTACCATTGACAACCTTGCACCCCCTTGCTTATCGAGACTCAATCTACGTCATTCTTAAAATATTCAAGGATTCTTCTGCCATCATCTTTTTAGGAAGAGAGCTCCAAAGACTCATGACCCTTTGTGAGGGAAAAAAAATCTCTTAATTCTTGGTCTTAAGTGAGTGACTCCTTATTTTTAAGCAATGACCTATAGTTCCAAGACTGTTCCAGTGCATGAATAATCAGTATCCTGTTACATTAATAATCAAGATCTAATTATGATAATTGACAGTTGCTGTTGCATTAATAGTCAGCTGTCCATTGCTTCAATTAACAGGAAATTATTGTGTCAGTAATCAGATGTTAATACATTAATAATCAGAATTATTGTAATTAATAATCAGAGTTAAATACTTTTAATGACCCATCTAGCATTAATCAGTTAGTTACTATATCAATCATATAGATCCTGTTGCAAAATCAAAGTCCTATGACATTAATAACCAGATTCTAGTACATTAATTTTAATGTGTATATGTTCAGCTCAATCATAGAATTGTTATCAGGCAGAATGAGGCCATTCAGCCTATTGAGTCTGCCCCAGTTTCTGAGCATTTTGGTTGAGTGCCAATCTCCTGCCTTTTTCCTGTAGTCCTGCACATTGTTAAATCATCATCCAGTACCCTTCTGAATGCTTTAATTGAGCCTACCTCCACCACGTTTCCAGGCAGTGCATTCCATACCTGAACTATTTGCTATGTGAACAATTATTCTTGTCATCTTGCATTTGCTTCTTGGCAAAGTACCTTAAATCTCAACATCTTATCAGCAAAAGTATCCATACCCCACCCCCCAGCACCACAATGAACAATTTTCGTATCCCAAACCTTCACTGTAGGGACAGACAAACATTGAGACGTTAAAATGGGAGAAAAATTTGGAACTACAGTAAAGAAAGTTAGTGCAAAAAGCAGAAGATATATGTTTACATGCAGGATTATGGGTTACTGTTGGGTTTGGTGATGGAAGTCGGGACAATGTCAGCTTGTGAGAATATATTGAATGAATGGTTGAGTGAGAGTTGTTTAGAAAAAGGATGTGCTTTTAGGATTAGGACCACTCATTATGAGCAGCATAAATACCTGCAATACTGGTTGGGTTGAAAGGATCTGTGTTGCAATGCTGTATGTACTTTGAGTATTTTGTTTCAAGACAAATTGTGAAATCCTTGGCTTTCTAAATAGAGTTATAGAGTACAAAAACAAGGACGTTGTGCCAGGAAGACAATTTGCATTTATACTTCAGTACAGGAAAACATTTCACAGCAATTCATTAGTGTAATTAGATTAGAAGAAGCTTTTTTTTTAATCTTCCTTTTTCCTTTATATTCAGAAGTGTTCTTACGCACAACTGAACTTTTTTTCGATCACTATGCCACCTGTAGTATTTCTTCTGCTCAATTAATCACCAACAATAAATCACCCGCATTTTCCAACTGAATGATTTATGTCCAAATCCAATTAAGGCCAATGCAAAGTGAAGGGGAGGAGGCTAAATCAAAATGGAGTTGGAAGGGGCAGAAGAAACTTTATAAATCCTTGGTTCATCCAATTAATTGGTTAATTAAGCAGGTGAATTGTGTGTGGAATTGAACAACGGACTTTCGAAAGGCTATTGATGACTTAGAGTCCGGGCAGAGGAGATTGATCGGAATGGTGCTGTTTGTGAGGGACATCTATCACGTGAAGTTTACAGAAGCTGAGAATGATCTCCTCTGAGCACAGAAGATTGAGTGGAATTAACCAAAATGTTCAAAAGTCGGAGGGGTTTTGGAAGAGTAAGTAAAGAGTTTTCACTGGCAAGACAGTCAGAGAGGCCAGATTAAGAGAATCGGTAAAGAAACCAGAAGGGAAACAAACAATTTTTTTTTGGAACTGTGTGAAAGTGTGATTGTGTCTGCTTGATAATCCTGCATGATCAAGTGGCCTGCTGGCTGGGTCAAGCATGAGCAAAGGTTTCATGGCTGAGGTTCTAGAGAGTTACTGATTCCCAACGAACTGCAGCCAAACAGGAATTGTTTCTATCAGAAAGGTGAAGAGCTATACCAGGAGAAGGGGAAGCAGACTTTGTGGCACCATGAATAGTGTCCTTGCCTCTGAACCAGAAGCTCCAGGTTCAAGTTCCAGTCCAGGCCTGGATGATCAAGGAAGGTGCATTCATATCATGGCCAAACAGGCTGTGTGTCAATTTGTAAATCCTTCTGATGCACCCAGTGTAGGCAGGAGAGTTTCCTGGGTGGCTAGAACTCTGGGGTAGCTACAACACAACAGCGTCCCCAGGTTACTGCCTTCATGATCAAGCTCTCATCACAGTTTGTACTCCATGACTAGTACCCTCCTTGCTTTCAGAAACTGCTAGCAAGAGGAAGTGAGAGCCTTCCTGTAAGAAAGGTGTCTCTGATTGAGTGAGCAGAGCAGACCCAAGGGGCCGAGTGGTCTACATCTGCTCCCTTTTCATAGGTTCATACAAGCTGCCTTCTTTCTTGAGAATGGAACAACGGGCTGCCTCTGGTTAAGTTCCTAATCAGCTGATTGTGATTAAATAAATAAATCTGAAGACGATTTGAAAATAAAAAATGATGGCTAAGAAATAGTAAGTATATGTATAAATTTCAAGTTTAGCCATAAGATGTCCTGAACCCACAAAGAATGTTTCAATACTGAGTCATGTCTGATACTTTACTCACTCCTATTTCAGCAGCCTATTTATCTCATAAAAAGCAGTTTTAAAATAAAGATTTGCCCCTCAGACATTGCCCAGAATCCGCACTTTGATTTGTTGCACACACTTTCATTAGTTAACATCGGGCTTATCTTTGTGCTTATCATAAATATTTCCCTTTTTTTTGTTACTGTGCTCTGAAGGATAGGTGCATCGTGTTACTGTATATAACCTGACATCTCAGCAAAAGTATTCCCGTCCAGCAGTAACATTTTTGAAAGTAGATGATTGATTTTGCAGAGGAACACTGAGTATTGTGGTTTCCACTCCAGAGCTGTTAATTAATATTGGCAGTCACCCAGTCTAAAACATTTAAGACATCCTATTCAAAGGAACATTTCTGAAATTAGAACAGTGTGCATATTTGCTCTTGAACATAGGCTCAGAGGGGATGTAAAGCTTTCAGAGAATAAAATTGAATAAAAAGGTCCTTTGAATATTGACTGTCATCAGCTTGCTTTATTTCTCATTTCCTCTTCTAAATATTTGCTTTAAAACACACAGTGCAATCCTGCTTATTGTAAAGCGGAATTTGATTTGTTGACAGGCATGTTGTAAATTTGTGCCATTCATTTTGGCCACAAGTCCCCATAGGGCTGTTACTATGGAGTGAGATGTAAAATGAAACACAGTGCTTCCCAATAGAGTTGGAAGGAGATTTGGTAGAACCTGGACAATTGTCAGTAATGCCTGGATCAACATTGTCTGCTTCCTTGTATGGCCCTGAGAAAAGAAGGACTTGGTATGAAATAAGAATACAGATCCAAACTGGGGAAATGTACTGAATCTTATGTTATTGAACCAGGACTGGCAAGTGAATCATAGAATCCCTACAGTATAGAAACAGGCCATTTAGCCCAAAAAGTCCACACCGCCCCTCTGAAGAGCATTCCACCCAGACCCATTCCCCTACCCCTGTATTTCCCATGTCTAACCCACCTAACCTAAACATCCCTGGGCACTATAGCATGGCCAGTCCACCTACTCTGCACATTTTTGGACTGTGGGAGGAAACCCACGCGCACACGGGGAGATTGTGCAAACTCCACACAGATAGTCACCTGAGGCTGGAATCGAACCTGGGTCCCTGGCACTGTGAGGCAGCAGTGCTAACCACTGTGCCGCCCCTATTCAAAAGTGCACCCTACCAAAAGACTTGACTAGTAATCTTGATATAAAACTCCCCATTTGTCTGTTTCCTAAAGTACACCTAGGGGAGGCAATGGCCTAGTGGTATTATCACTGGACTGTTAATCCAGAGACGCAGATAACGTTCTGGGGTCCAGGTTCAAATCCCGCCATGGCAGATGGTGGAATTTGAATCCAATAAATATCTGGAATTAAGAGTCCAATGGTGAACATGAATCCATTGTTGGTTGTTGGGGAAAAACCCATCTGGTTCACTAATGTCCTTTAGGGAAGGAAACTGCCATCCTTACCTGGTCTGGCCTCCATGTGACTCCAGACCCACAGCAATGTGGTTAACTCTCAACTGCCCTCTGGGCAATTAGGAATGGGCAATAAATGCTGCTTAGCCAGTGATGCCCTCATCCCGTGAATGAATAAATAAAAAAATCTGCTCCAGTGGACAGGTAATGGTAACCTCAACATGTTTGGTAATTGGTAGCCTTAGCCATGAAATGAGAATAAGCCTACATAGTGGATTTGCAGATAATTCATTAAATAAACGCATTGAAAGACAATCACTAATTAACTACATAATCTTTTGTCCTCCTCTGTACAGGGATGCCTCAGGCTTCACCGATTGGATGTACTCTACTGTGCGTTGCTGGGGTGAGAAGGCAGAAGGTGTCTACAAGATGATTATTGGTGATTTAGGTTCGCTGACTCCTTGTGTTCTTTTATCATTTGTGGGATGTGGGTGTCACTGACTGGGATAGCATTTATTACCATCCATGAATAAGAGTCAGCCGCATTGCTGTAGGTTTGAAGTCATGTGTAGGCCAGACCAGGTAAGGATGGCAGATTTCCTTTCCAAGCGGACATTAGTGAAGCAGGGGCAATTTTACAAAAATGGACCACAGTTACCTGGTCATAATTAGATTAGCTTCTAATTCCAGATTTTTATTGAATTTAAATTTCACCATCAGCCACGTTGAGATTCGAACCCACGTCCCCAGAACATTAGACAGGGGTGAGTACTTTGCTCCCCAGGAAGCAAAGTTGCTGAATGCAGAATCTATACAATACATTTCAGATTACAGCCTTCCAAGCGGAAGGGCGAGTTGTACAGTTTGTGTAACAACAGTTTGTGAGAAAGGGAGTGGGAACAGAATTAATTGAGTGGCTCTTTTAAAGAACCAGTCTAAGCACAAGGGCCTCCTCTTGTGCTGACAATTACATGACAACATGTAAACACTTGTGTTACAAGGCTTGTTGAAAATAGAGATGGGACCCATTATGGAGATTTCTTGAAAGTCTGAACTGAAATTCCAGAATCTTCATTCATCCACAGGAAGTATGGCACTTTCAGCTTCCAAACACTGGCTGTCCCTGTTTCTGGGTTCATGTAAATAACATAAATATGCAACAGTACTAACCAGCACATCTGTTCCTCTGAGCCAGGCCAGCACATTCCCTCTCTGTTGGGTTGAGAACAGGGATTGCAGGCTGATTTCTTTCAGGGATATGCTGTCTCTTCCAGGCTTCTCTTGTCAGTTACCTCATGGGAAGACAGTAGCAT